TCAGGTACAAAAAGGGGGCAACAGGAGGTGGAGAGATGGTTCTGTTGGTAAGCATGAGCTGCTTTTGCAGGTTTGGTTCTCAGCATCCACACAGAAACTAACAACCATCCTTAACTCCAGTTCCAGGGGATCTAATGTCCATGCCCTTTTCTGGCTTCTGAGGGGCACTACATGCATGTGGTTGTACAGCAAGCAGTTTCCTACAAAAACCTTCCATCCTGGATGGAGGTTGGTTAAACAACAAATTGTTCTAAAGAACAGTAAACAACAGAATGTCTAAAGGGAGATGTCACATGCTTTGGTTACAGAACTTAGAGAAATGAGGGTAGGACAGAGCCCAACATGTTTAACTCTTGTAGTGCTGCTGAGATTGCTGGGAAAATGTATGGTCCAAAGTCCTACACAGCTGTGGATTCCACATGTTTCATGGTGAAAGTGCCAGGCAAGATGTGCGAGCTAGTGGAAAGGTGGCACAAATGATTATAGACAGAACTAATTTCCTGGTTGGAATTAAGGCCCATGTCACAGAGGGAAATTCACATCTGGTACTGGGAACTTAAATAAAACCTATAGTGGGGGAACTCATAGACCCCAGTAGAAAAAACAGCTATTAATTTGATTAATGAATGATACACTGGCTAAGGTGCCTCCCAACATTTGTATTTATGACAATAATTAGTACTACCACTCTCAGTATCTGTTTACATATTTTTCTGTTTCTTATTTTTTGCCTTTTCCTCACATGTGTCTTATAATGAAAAAAAGAATAGGATTGAGAATCACCATCAGTCACCCTCTGGATAAAATAAAAACAAATGAAAGATACAAAAATTTAGTATCCTACAAGAGTTAGAGGATCCCAGTGTTCTACATCACTCCCTTCAAGGCTCAGTGACCACTATACAAAAATGAGGGCAGAAGAATCTAAGAGCTAGAGGAAGGGGTAGAATGTTATATACCAATTGTCTCTGAGATTAAAAACTTCTATCTTAGAAGGGCAAGCTGGATAAATAAAAGGATGTTATAAAGGAAGGCAAACAACAGGATGTCTAAAAGGAGATAAAAAACATGTTTTATTATTATTTTATGTGTATGAGTATATTGCCCGCATGTATGTAAGTGTACCCATGTCATGTAGTGGAAGATAGAAGAGGGTGTAAGATTCCCTGGAACTGGAGTTAGCCACTATGTGGGTACTGGGATTCTAACAAGAACAGTCAGTGCTCTTAACAGCTAAGCCATCTCTCCAGCCCCAAAACAGAATTTTTTATTTTTTTTATTTATTTTTTTTTTTTGGTCGTCTTTTCGAGATAGGGTCTTCCTGAAGCTCCAGATGGCCTGTAACTCACTATCTAGACCAGGTTGGCCTCGAACTCACAGAGATCCACCTGCCTCTGCCTCCCAAGTGCTGGGACTAAAGGCGTGTGTGCCTGGCTAAAAGAGAGTATTTTAAAGGGGAGGTGAAACATTCTACCCTGCAAAGAAGCTCATTAAGTAAACAACTCAATAGCTTCAGGAAGTCCCTGAAGGTGATCAGGTTCACTAGGCTCCTTCCCCAGGCATATATAAACCCTAAAGATCACTAAGGTGCTCTCAGGGGAGCAGAGCTACATTAAAGATTGATTTTTTGAGACGGTCTCACTATGTAGTCCTGGAATTCACTGTGTAAACCAGGCTGGCCTGGAACTCATGGAATCTGCCTGCCTCTACCATGAGTGTGCTGGGATAAAAGCAGGTCAGAAGAAGGGGTCAAATTCCCCTGGAACTGAAGTTACTTGTTAGCAGGCATGAGGGTACTGGGATTCAAACCCGGTCCTCTGCAAGAACAGTCAGTGATCTTAACCGCTAAGCCATCTCTCCTAGCCCTGAGATTTATCTATGTTAATGGGTATATCAGTAAATAATCCTCTCTCCTTCCTCTCTCTCTCTCTCTCTCTCTCCCTCTCGATTGCCTAGAACTCTTGGCAATCTTCCTGTGTGCTAGGATTGTATGTATAAACCACCATGCCCACCTGGCTCATTCTTGCTTAAAACAGCTCTATTGAGTAGGCTACATAATCAGATCCTATCTTCAAAAACAAAACCAAAAGAAAGACCTGGTGAGATGACTCAGTGTAGATCCTGACTCCCGTAACTTGTCCTGTAGCTTCCACCCATGCACTGTGGCATATGCATTCACCCACCCACACAAAATGAATGAATGAATGAAAGATAAAATATACAATTTGTGGTGTATTGGTGCATATATACAAATGCCTGAGAATTCGTAATTCAGCATAATTCCTGAAAGTAACAATATTGTTGCCTATACTGATAATTCATTTCATTTCTGGGTAGTATTGAATTATATGTGCTGGTTTGTACGTATATATCTGCTCCATCATCTACTGATGGACATTTGGGTGCTTATAGTTTGAGCCATTGCAAATAAAACTTTCTGTGAATATTTAAGGCTTTGTATAGATATATTTTATTTTTTCTTGGATAATAGCCTCCGTAGAATGAGCAAATCATATGGTGGTGTTTCAACTTTCTAAGAAACTGCTTGTTCTCCACCTTTGACAACACTTAACATTGTTAGCCTTTTTCATTTTAGTATTCTGAACGCTATATAGCAGAGTCTTAGGGCTGGATTATTGGTATGTGTCACCACACCTGGGTATGGCTTACAAGTTTTTATAAGAATTTTTAATGCTTCTTTTTATTTTTAATCTTCTTTGAAAAGATTTGTTTTTATTTGTATGTGTCTGTGAGTGTATCCCACATGTATGTATGTACCCATAAAGGCCAGAAGAGGGTGTCAGATCCCCTTGAACTGGAGTTACAGGTATTTGGTTTGTGAGCTGCCCCATATGGGTGTTGGGAAGTGCTCTTAACTGCAGAGCCAATCTCTCCAATACTATGATTTTATTTTAAAGATAAGCACAATTATTGTACATCTTTATGGGATACAATGTGTTACTTCCATATTTGCAGATAATATCTAATCAATTCAGGGGAATCAGTATATCTACCACTTTAAACATTCGTTTCTTTGTTATGAGGCCATCTGAATTCTCTTCTTGTGGTTCATTTTAAAATACAAACTGTGGGGGAGGAGAGATGGTTCAGGCATTAAGAGCACTGTCTACTCTTGCAAAGGACCTGGGTTCAATTCCCAGCACCCAGATAATGGCTAAGAACCATCCGTCACTCCAGTTCCAAAATAATTTGATGCCATCTTCTGATCTCTGTGGGTACTGCATGACACAAGGTGCACTTAGATACATGCAATATTCATACACATTAAAAAATTAAAAATATTTTAAAAATAATTTAATCTCAAAGATATTATGCTGAGCCAGACACAAATGACAACATACTATTATTTCATTTACATGAACTCTACAAATACAAACAGCTTTACTTCAGATCAAGTTGTTAAGAGATGAATACATAATGATAGAGACAGCAAAACAAATCTAGATTACTGGCATAAAATACAACAAGCCTTATCTAACATTAGAATAATGGTATTCTCTATAACTAAGTTGTTGGGGTTTTTTGTAACATCTATTTATTCATTCCTTTGAGAATGAGAACACATGTGTATGCCATGACACATGTGTGGAAGAGGACAACCTGTGGGAATTGGTTCTCTCCTCCTACCATGGGGGTCTCAGGGATCAACCTCAGGCTTGGTGGCAAGTGCTTTTACCCACTGAGCCTTCTTGCCAGCCCCTATACTAGGTTTTAACTGTCAGTCTACAAATACCCACAATAATATGATATTCCCTCTTTAACCCTCAAATGTCTTCCCTTTAGCTACTGCCTTCCTTTCCAGTGATGTTAAACCTCGTCAAGAATAGTGTATCCTGCCACACAGTCATCCTACAGCCTGGTATAGCTGGCATCCTTTAGTAGATGTCAAACACTTTCACAATGCAAAATATGATGGCCTTTTTTACTCCAGATCTACCTTAGTATCTCCATCATACACATCTACTGATAACACCCAATCCTGGTGGACTCACAGCTCCATAGGGCAGCTTCACTATCTTCTCACGCCATATTTTCTCCTTGGGTAGCATCACAGAACTAGGGCTTCAAGGACTTACAAGTGTAAGACCTATAATTTCAGCCCTGATTTCTTCATTACTTTAATGCTGTAACATCTACATATCATACTGAATAAAGAATACATTCATTACCACAGCCTATAAAATTTTTTACTGGCAGGTCTTGACTATTTCCATTTTATGACCCAATTTTATATAACTCTCTCAAATCTTTTTCTAAGTAAATTTTTAAATTATTTTTACTTTATGTGTATGAGTGATGTTACTGCATATATGTAAGTGTACTGGTGTTATGCAATGTCCATGGAGATCGGGAGAAGGCACTGAATATGCAGTCAGTCACCATGTGGGTGCTGGGAACTGAAACTGGGTCCTCTGGAAAAACAGTTTATGTTCTTAACCACTGAACCATCTCTAGCCCCTCTAAGTAAATATTTTTATTGATGTAAGATATACACATAGAAAACAACAAAAATATTAAGTGAACAGGTCACAAACAGCTACAAAGGGAAGATGCTTACAAAGTTACAACCCAGCTAAAGAAATTTAAAATAGCTTGGTGTGCTGACCCAGGCCTTTAATCTTAGCACTAGGGAGGCAGAGACAGGAGGCCAGCCAGGTCTACAGACCAGATGAGGCTATCTGCCATAGCAAACTAACCTACCCACCCTCCCTCACTCCCTCATTCCACATTCAAATAATTTCCTTTATGGCAATAGCTCATCTTTAATCACAGTGCAATTTAAATCTATCTCCAAAATAATACTTTGCACTGTTATACTACTCTTAAGTTTTTCACATATGATTTTCTGAGGTCTAGGACACATGATCTCTGTGTGTAGCAATAAGCTCAATGTCTCCAGAAAATATCATCTTCAATACATTTCTTCCTGGAAAACTTAAAATTCCAAAGTATGAGTTCCAAGAGTTTATTTACTTTACCTGTCCGACATTCATTGCAGATGAATTTTCCTCGGGGCATCTCAGTTAAGCCAAGGCATTCCAGATGGAAAGCCCCACAGCACTGAGCCTCACATAATAGCAGTTCACCCAGTTTCTCACAATTCTGTTAAGGGAAAGAAACAGATGTGTCTATAGAAATATTTTAGAAAAATACCAAATATAAAGCCCTCATGAGATTTAAACTTAAATATATTTGCAAAAAAAAAAAAACCCACATGAAATCACATCATTACTCAATTAATATTTAATAATTATGTCCTAGGTGCCAGGGACACATAACAAGGTCTCTGGCTTTTATGGGGATTGATGTTACAAACAAGTGACTTTAAAAAGAAAAGGTGTCATAGTTACTTTTCCTGTTGCTGTGATAAAATATCCTGACAAAAATTTAAGGGAGAAGTTTATTTTGGCTCACAGTTCAAGGGTGCAGTACACCATAGATGGTGAGGTAAAGACACAAGAGCTTGAAACAGCTGGACGCTAACAGGAATCATATAGCAATGAATTGCTTTAGCTCGGTTCACTTTTTCCTTTTTATTCAGTCTGGAATTCCAGTCCAGGTAATAGTACCATCCAAGGTAGGCAGATCTTTCCACTTTAATTAGCCTGATCAAGATAAACCCTAATAGGCATGCTCTAAGGATAATCGCTCACAGGTGTGCCGGAAGGTGTGTCTCTTAGGTAATTCCAGGTTCTGTCAAGTTGACAATTAACACCAATAATCACATGGAGATCATATTCGATAATGATTAATCAGTATTAGGTAGAACATTTAAATAGCTAATCTGGCTTTGGTAATGAGGGGTGACCTCTCAGATTGTGCTCTGAATGTTCAAATTAACCATGTGAACGTCTACAGGAAGACAGCAAGCAAAAAAGTCCAAAAATGGAAAAGGCCATGTCATGTTTGAGAATCATAAAGACACTATCATTAGACTAACATGAACAAGTAAAAAAGAGAAAAAGATCTGTAATTTTAGATTTCAATCTAATAACAAAAATGTACCATTGGAAAGCTTTGTCAACCGAAGAGAAGGGTAAACTCAGGTGTATATAAAAAAGGTTTCTGCTAATTGAAAATGAACTGGAGAATATGGTTAAGAAGACAAACTAGTAGGGCATGGTGCTGCATGCCTTTAATCCCAGTACTCATGAGGCAAAAGCAGGCAGACCCTGCCCCAAAAAGAACAAAAAATAAAAAAAATAAAAAATAAATAAATAAAACATCCCCCAGGTATCTACACAAATGCACACAAAAACATTGAAAAACATCCTGTACATGTTCAGAATAGACCAAACCATCATAGGCACAACTAGAGTATATACTGGGAGCTATATAAACAATTTTCTCGCAAAATATTTTCCATCCACAATTGATTAAATCCACAGAGTCCAAAACTTTATTGCACTTACTATGTAAAACAGAAAGGTAAAAGATCTACTATCTGTAAGAAATAAAATAAATAATAGGTCTTGGTAACAAAGAAGGAAAGCAGCTAGGTGTGGTGGCTTAGGCCTTTAATCCCAGCACTTGGGAGGCAGAGGCAGGCAGATTTCTGTGAGATTGAGGCCAGCCTGGTCTACATAGCAAGTTCCAGGCCATCTGAGACTACAGAAAGACCCTGTCTCAAAAAAACAAAAAGAAAACCAAAACCAAACAAACCAAAACCAAACAAATGAAATCTTTAAAAATTAAGAAGGACTAGGTGTGGTAGTGCATGCCTTTAATCCCAGCACTTGGGAGGCAGAAGCAAGCAAATCTTTGTGAGTTCCAGGACAGTCTGGTCTACCTAGTGAGTTCTAGGATGGGGCTACACAGGGAGACCCTGTCTCAAAAAAGTAGAAAAAAGGCCAGGTGTGATGGTATACTCCTTTAATTCCAGCACTCTAGAGGCAAAGGCAGGAGAAAC